CTTGTTTTCTTAGTTGGATTGAGTTAAAGCTGAACACTGACTAACAATCAAAAGGGGAATAAGGAAGAAAGAAAATACGCACAGAAATGACTGGAAGACGCAGAAAAAGACTTATCCACACGGTGTGGACTACATATTGAGCTCAGTGGCGCAACAGAAAAAAACAAGTACATTTCAGCATAAAATAAAGCCAACGCAACCAACACACCAGTAACAAAAAAATGCAGTAGCCACCAAACACCTCAGTAGATTGTCCACACCATTTTTGTAAAGCCTGCTTAAATCCTCTTCCATATCCATTTCATCCCTTACAGCCCTCTCCATCCTCTTGTAATGATTTGATGTCTGTATTTTACCCAATACTCCCGCATCGTGGATATACTTCGTGGGGTTCCTTTAAAAGCTCATCCAGCAACAAATCCCGATTGGCGTCCAAAGCACCCCTGCCGTCCAATTCCATCGTAATAAAGTCATTCAGCTTCATTTCCTTGACACGAGATCTTCCCTCAAACACCGCATCATCAGTCCTAGTGTGAATGGTAACCCCCGGTTCTTGTCGTTCTCGCCTTTCCCTTTCTTCCTCCACCTGCCTCTCTACTCTCAGTAAATAAGAGTAGGCTGTGTTTATTTGTGCCCTTGCAAGAGGAGTGACCGTATCCTTTTCTTTCAAGGTCCCTCCATTGCCTGAGAGTGATAATATATTTTCGTCTCCAAGCTTATTTAAAGCCTCCAATAGCACGTGCATATCCTCACGCTCCTTTTTAAGCTCTTGGTACGGCGGCGATGCCTTTATTGTCCTCAATAACACTTCTTCTTTGATGAACTTCGTGGAGCTAATAGAAAAACCCCCGCATATAGATGTTCCTATAGAATTCCACGACGCCCCTACCGCCAAAATAATTCCGAAGGAAATCATTCAGCCTCATGTTAGTGCTGCTAGTGTTTCCCTCCTGCAGGATTTCCTCTACGGTGCTGCTCATGGTCCACGGCGGTCGCTGCGTTTTCTCCACTCCTCTGCGAGCTGCAGCGTCGGAACCATCACAAGAGCCGCGGCAATGCGCCATCGCAACACCCGTGCGGTGAAGCATCCCACTCGCACCGCCCAACTGCGGCCAGCAGGTGCCGCTGGCTCCAAAGGACATTCGCGGCTGTTTCGTCCGGCAGTCCCAATGGCGTTGGGCGTGGCACTCGCACGGCGGGGCGGTCGGTGCGCCATGCAGCCGCACTGCAACGCCGGTCGGTGAAGCAGCCGAGGCCCACAGCCCCCGCGGCAACGCAACGTGCAACCAACCCCAACACCGCCACATTATTGCCCTTTTTTATTTTGTTTTATTCACGTTGTCTGTCTGTTTGCCCCATCACCGACACCAAAAATAAGTGCACACCTTTACAAAAGGGAAGGAACAAAGAGAAAAGGAGGCGCGATCCCACCGTCCCGCCGCGGGCTCACACTCTCCTCCACCCACCACCATTGCCGCGCAGGGGACCGCAGTCACATCGGAGAGCCAAAACCACAATGTGCACCACACCATCGTACACTGAACGATAGGCAAGACGCAGCCATGCATCGCCCCGCTCCATTTTCCCACCCATCAAGTATTGCGTGCCCGCTCAAAGTAGCAAACACAATCAGAGTGCACACAAACCCAATCAACACACTCACTCGATGAAGCACATTATTCGCATGGGGTGAGAACATTTGAGGACACACCAGCAGTAGCAGGCTGCATGGAATTTCCCTGCCAACCCTGTGAAAAGAAACAATAACTCTGCGGAATAAAAGTGACAGCCCCGCGGTGTTGCCTGCAGTTCATATGGCAGGACAAATTCCACGCACGCATAGTTCCGGATCCCTCGCTGTTTGAGTGCGCATCAACTGAACAAGTAAAAAATACCTGCGCGCAAGATGGAATTAAATACGTGAAAAAGTCGGCCTGCTTTCTCCAATGGCGTTGGCGAGCAGTCCCACACAATCCAATCAAAGTGGCACGCCGGACAGAATGGCGTCCGTCAATCAATAAAAAAATGCGACACTGAAAAGGAGCAGAGAAGAGTTGGCGCATGCGATTGCCAGTGACAACTGTGAGCAAACCCGCCAGCACCAACTGAGGTTCTGAGGAGCACGTTTGTGTAGAACTGGCCGTCAGGCAGAGAGTATAAATAAAACAAAAGAGCAAAAACCTTCTCTTTCAATGTCTCCTGACCGCGACACCAGAATCAAAATACCATGGACGATAAGAGCGGCAACGCCTTCTCCAAAACATCTTGTCAAGAAGCCGCAGGACCTCAGGAAGGGAGGAAGGCAGCGGCGGCAGCCACAACGGGGGAGGCAATAAAACGGCTGACAGGCACCTTCACGTCGGCGCGCACACCACATCCGAGTGGGCTGGGAGCACAGATCGAACCGCTCGGAAACACATGCATCAAATACGCAAAACAAAGTCGCGTTGAATCGACAGGAACCCCCCGCCCAAAACAAATTTAAAAAGTGGCGTTTTTCAAGGGGAATCCGCTTTTCCGACGACGGCACGGACGCCTCGCAGGAATTTCTTGCAAATCTCCCTTCGCAGGTCCGCAAGAAAACGCAGCGGAATAAAAAGAGAGCTCAACGACGCAAAAAAAATAATCCTCCTAACCGACCAGGTGGCAGGCCGCCCTCGCGCAAGTGGACAAAACACAACTTCACTCCGGTCTTGTCGTGGTGGTCGTCTCGCAACTATTTTTTTTCCTTCTCGTCGCAGTGCACATCCCCCTCCCACAAATCATTTGTTCGGGCCATTTTCCTGCGGCCAAACATTGCGCTGCTGAATCCCGCGGCACAGTCCTCGGCACAGAGGTGAGGGAAGGAAGAGGGACCGCAGAAGGTGCGAGCAAATCCGAATTCGGTGGCGGTCGCTGCAGTGAAGACTGACGTCCCACGCGGTGTCCCTTTTCTAGGTCCGGTCCTCACCGTGCCATGCTCTCAGCGTGCGGTGCGCCGGCCGCTCCGAACATCCACGCGTGCTTGCGTCTCACCGTCGCTCCCAGCCCCGTTCGTTGGCTGCATCAGGGATGCCGCCATCCAGAGACGGGCATAAGGACGTTGCATCCAACAAAACCTTCAGAGGCACCCGGTGGGCCAACGACGACCGTCACTGCGGGATGTGTGGCCCTTCCGCCGCTCACCTCAAATCGCACTTCTACACCTCCTCGAGCAGCAGCAGCAGCATAAATACACCGGTCCACTAGAGGCCGTCACCAGCCATTGCAGGAAGAACACTGTGCCTCAGTGCCATGAAACCCGAATTGCATTGACGGGCCACTTCGGAAAACCCCGTCGCATCCTCCCCCAATTATGCAAAAACACATCCGTCGTGCATGTGTCCACCGCAGACAAATGAATCTGGTCCAAATACCCTCCAAATTAAATTCCCCTTTCCCCAAGCCATTCCTTCATTCCATACGCCCTGACCCTCATCCGCACGTCCCCACTCACACAAACCGCCATAGACAGATGGTGGCCGCCCAACGCCCCGGAAAAACATGCCCAGCACGCACGCGCATAACAAATGATATGCGCAAAAGCACGGCACAACGGCGGAGAAGCGCACACCGAAAGGATGCGGCCCTCCACAGCAGTCGCAGCCCACCGCGCGCATCACACCCGCAGGAAGAGTGACTCGCGGTGCGCGCTCCCTCTCTCCTCCTTCCCTTCATGCCCACGGAGGAAGCAGCAGCCACCCGCAACCGCCAGCACACGCTACAAAAGAAGCAACAAAATCCACTGCAATGTGCATTCTGTGTCGTTGTGTGTGCCTGCAGACACACGAAGCAAAGAAGTAAAAACAGGAGCGGAGCATGTGAGGGGACGCACAAAAAAAAAAAATGCACAGCAGAGGTGCATGGCAGAAATAAAGAGAAAAAGACTGCTCAAACTCATGATATTGCACTGCAGACAAAGCAGCGGCAATTCATAAAAAATTTATTAAAATTTTAAAAAAATTCATCTTCACCTTTCCACCTCACACTTTGAAAAAAAGAAAAAAAAAGAAAACAAGAAAAAAGAAAAAAAGAAAAAAAAAAAGGTCGTCCTCTATTACAGCTACACCCAAATGATAAAAAAGAAAAAAAAACACACACAAAAAGGTGCACCTAACTACCATGTTGCTCCAGAAATTGTCTGCATATATTTTCCGAAAACAAAATTAAATATTTAAATGCCTTTCAACCGTCTGACCCTCCATGTGTGTCCGCACATCGTTTATATTTCATGGGGTCATCTGCGTGTTGCTGCTCCCCTCAGCCCTTTCATCGGCGTGCGAGTCCGGCCCGCAGAGCACAGTCGCTCTTGTGTGCGGGGACTGAGAGAAGCACGCAGACATGACGGGAGTCGCGTCACTCCATCGGGAGAGTGAGCGCAGCAAAAGAAAAAAAACTCATCAGGGGGAAAAGAAATGCACACGAGGCCGACACCAAAAGAAATGCCGGCGCGTGAAATGCACACGCAAAGCAAAAAATCTTAAAAACACGGCGGCAGCGTGTGGCTGTGTGTGTGTGGCGCTGCGGGTGTCTGCCCGCCCTGGCAGCAAAAAAACAAGAGGAAAGAAATGTGTGCTCCGCCCCACAGGCCCTCGTCGCACGCCCACACGTCACGGCTCCCTCAGCGCGTCGTTCGTCGCGGCCCCTCCTCATGCGTGCAGCGGGCGAGGCGCACAGGGCCGTCGTCATGAGCGTGTCGGTGGGTGTGCGAGCGGAGCAGTTGGGCGGGAAACACACGGCACCCCTCACAGGAAGAGTGCAGAAGAAACAATTTAAAAAAGTGGAAAAAAAAAAAAAAAGAGGTCCATGGTGATTGCCCCCAAAGCAAAAAAGAGGGGATTGGAGATGAGAAAGTAGAAAGCAGGAAAATAAATTTAAAATACGCACAAAAAAAAGATTTTATGAGGGAAATTTGTTCCTATGGGAATAGTGTTTCTGTGCTCGGGAGGCCGCAATTGTCCCACGCGGCAGCCAGTCACTCCTCACGGAGCCGCAAACCCCCACAGTCCCGACAGAAGAAGCAGCAGCAATGGCAGCACTCCGCTCCCACGCACAATGCTGCCATCACCCGTTGCTTCTCCAACGGCATGGGAGCTCAAAGCTGCCGGCACTTGCTGTGATTCACTTTTATTTCGAGACTGCTGCGACGCCGCTTGCTCCACTGAAGCCTCAGAAGCTGACGCAATATCTTCTTCCAAATCGGCACTCCCACCAGTAAATGTCAACGGGCGGTTGTACAGCAGGACGTTCCTCACAGTCACGGACACATCTTCGTCACCCGCTGTGTTCTCTGCATTGCCTCCATCCCCTCCAATGTAGAAGTGTGAGATCCCTTTCGATTCTGTATTTTCCAATTTACTTTGCACACTCTCACACACACGCTGACCATCGACGTACACGGAGCCCTGGGTGCCGTTCTGTAGCACAATGGCCACTTGGTATTGTCTCTGTGGATCCCAAGTGCTTTTAAGCTTCTTGGTTGTTCCGTCACTGCACAGCGCCTGCCACTCCTTTTCGCTGCCGTACGACAACTCCATAAGTTTCGTTCCTCCGTCACTGCCTGTACGCACACCCATCAAAGGAATGGGGGTATCTCCCTTCGGCTCACCGTGGACGGACACCGTCGCCACAAGAGTGAAGTTGTAGTTCGCAAAGTGGTACAGCTGATTCTCCCCCTGCTTGCCAACAGGCCACTGCGCCCCTGCACCACGTCCTTTAAATGTCACGCCATCGGAAGGCTCTGCCTTTGTTGCACCAGTTACTGTGGCGTTCACTCCGAGGTACTCGTCCTTCCATGTCTTATCAGAGAAGCTACCGGACAAAAAACCAACCAGCCCATCCGTGATCGTATCAGCGCCGCAGGCATTGCCAGTTGAGCGATCCTTCACAGCATTTGAAGAGGTGCACAGCTTGGAGACACGTTCGTCCACTTCCCTCCAGGTCGTCAGCACCTCCTTCACCCGCTTCAGCTGCTCAGTCAGAAGCACAGAGACCATACCGGATGATTGTCTGAACCCATCGTCCTTCTTGTACAGCGCAATCAACTCATCCTTATTATTATTCCCATTAGTTCCACTTTTGTACAACAGGGAGCTGGCGGTGACGTCATCATCCTTCCCGGATACCGGCCCAATATAAACAATGTGCGTGTTGTCCGTCAGCCAGAGATGGAGTTCGCCCTTTTCCTTTCCATTTTCTTCCTCAGCATTCTTGGCATACACCGGCAGAGTAACGAGCATCACTCTCCTCTTATCATTTCCAACACCGTCAATCTTCGCTGTGATGAACCCGCTTTTAACGCCCTTCTCATGTCGCTTTTGGTTGTTGCCCCACACGCGCGAGAGTGTCCCGAGGGCCTCCGTCCACGAATCCCCCTTGTCACCGGACTCGTACACCCTGCGGCGGCCATCATCACACGCTGTCATCATCATGAGTTTTCCCTTCTCCCGCTCCACGACGGAGGGATCACTGCAGCCATAGGCAGACATCCCCTTCGACAGCGTCCAATTCGTAGTATCCTTGGAGGAGTACAAGATCAGCGAAACGTTGTTATTCTTTTCTTCACTTTCAGTGCCGTCCTTCTTCACGGCTTCCAACGGGAACACAAGCGTATCGTCATCCATCTTAATACCCGATCCACCGCTTCCAATCTCACCTGCCAAGGATTCGTGACGTCCCACAATAGAAGTGCACGGGAGACCGTCAGTATCTTCCCAAACAATTCCGTTGTCCTGTTCTCCACTGACATTCCCCTTTACCAGCAAAAGACCCCATGAGGCCGCGTCAGCCCCAACCCGACAAACAGCGACATTTTCCCTGATGTATTTTCCAGCAAGCATGTAAATGCCATTTCCCTTCACAACTGTTGTTGGCCGGCTCACACGTACGCTGTGGAAACTTTGGGAACCAGCGCGATTTGTTGACCGAGAGGGGCATTTGCCATCTTCGGAGGAACATTTCTCCAGTGTTTGTGTCTTCAATTTACTCAAATTCAACATTTTTGGGTTTTCACCACTCAACTCAAGGAGCTCCGAGGCAATCTCAGTAAAGTAATAGTTTCCTTCACCTTCATTCTTCTTCTTGCACAGCGCCTCGGCAACGGCAAACACTTTACCATTCACCTCAACAAGACTGGGAGCATAGAGCGAATCCACTGTTTCTTCTCCTGTTGTATCTCTCCAAACAAAATGTTTACCCGGTAAAGATCCCAGACCTGGCGACGGCTCCGCAGCTTTCACAGCTCTTCCAGTGCCGCAGCACATCTTAACGACGAGGAGCAGCAGCACCGCAAAAGTAAACGCATGCCGGGACATGTTGGGCATTTGCTGCTCACTCTCTCTTCCTTCCCTCCTCCTTCCGCTGGATCCGGTCACGCGGTGACGGTTGTGTGTGCGGGGTGCCATGACTGCAGCAACACGTGAGAGCATATAAGTATGTGTGTGAGGGCGGTGTGTGTGCTGTTGTTGGTCCCTTCAGAGCCTTCGAATTTCACAGTAGCGATTCGCGCTTGTTTTCTTTCTTTCCTAGTGTGTCTGTGTTCAAGAAGTGGAGAGTACAACGACAGCGGCAAAAAGACAGAACAACAGTGGGAACCAGAGCAGGGCACCCACGCGGACAGCAGGACACAAGACAATCCGGAAGGGACAGCACGGAGGACCATCGCCCACAGAAAAGAGCAGCAACACGGCAAGTCACGGCGGGCCGTCGGTGTGTGAGGGCCAGCCCTCACGCGGTGCAACACGCCACACCCAACAGGGAAAGAAAGACAGAGAGACAAGCAGAGAGAGAAACGGATGGATGCCGTCAAGAGGCACTTACAATCCACATGGCCCGTGAGCATGCCGCCACTCCACGCAGGAACACAAGAGGAGAAGATGACAGGGGAAGAAGCAAGAAGCAGCACAAAACACACGGAGGAAACAAACGACAAGCAGGAAAAGCACCGCCACGGCCCTCGCCCTGGCCGGCAACTCCACACCAGCCCTCACACACTCACACACCATCGCAGTGCTGTCAGTCCGCGGGTAAGAGGATTCGGTCCTCCACAAAAGGAAGGCAAACACTGCCAGCAATCAACCACAATGGACAAGAACGAGAAGAGACACACCGCCACCGCCTCCAGTTCAGTCCCACGGCCAACGGGATACGGCCACAGCCCCGCAGCCAACACACAACGCACACGGAGCTAGCAATCACCCAAAGAGCCACACGCAGAAACGGGCCCTCATCCATCCACGACGCGGCGCCTCACTCCATGCGGTCACACAAAGTGCACTGTTTCCTCAATAGAACTTGTTCGTCGTCCATCCCTTAAAGATGCTTCTGTTAGTGATGGGCCTTAAAACAAAATAGAAGAAAATGAACAATGCAGTAGTAGTGCAACAGCGCCAAACACAATGATTCCCTCATACCGGGCAATTCTCCAATGAAGCCTCGTATGCACACACAATCAACATACTATATAAAAACCACCCAATGGTTTTCACCAAAAACCAAACAATCCCTTTCCCTCCCTAATTTCTTCTGTCACCGTTGTGTTCGATAGAGTTGGACCGTTCTAAAATCTGTGTAATGCTGCCGCATGGTGCTGGTACACCTGCACCGTATGCCCAGACACAAGCATCCAAAAATACATAAATCCCACAACATTTTTTCATCAAAAATCAAAATTGCCCCTTTCCCCAATTTGTTTTCCTATTTCGTTTTTCCTCACCTCCGGAGAGCTTCTTCCCTTCAAAAGTCTTTGGATGATATTGACACTTGGTACTGGTGCACCTTTTCCTCCCAGAACGTCGCAATTTTTTGCTCTTCCTTCTCGCTCACATTATAGGAATTTTCGACATCACATCTCTGCCAGCCATTCATCGGCGTGCTGTCTGCGTGCTGCACATAAATAATCTCCCACGACATGTCTCGGGATAATTCCTCCCAACCATTAAAATAAGCCACCAGGCACTCATTGAACTGCCTCACAGTGCTGGCTGTGGTGTGATGCTCACCCGCCGTAGTCATCCGCAGCCCAACCAGCGTCTTCGGGTTTGAGTCCAAAAAGAAAAAGCCGTCCACCAACGGAAAGTTTTTAGCCTCCGGTTTGTACAACACCCGACACTCTATATTAATCTTCTTTTCAAAATTTTCCAGGCGCTCTAAAAGAAAGGGCTTGAGAGGGCGCTCATGTGGATACAATTCCAGCGCACAGAGATCTGGTGGAGCATTTTTTTCTACTTTCAGCTCCGTGAGTTTCGGTACTATTGCACTTACAAAGGCAGCACTTAAAAATGCAAACAAGGAATGATCTTCAAGGGCTTTTGATATGAGGTCGTCCTTGATAGCCAATATGAGTAAATTAAAATCATTCGGCACCATTAACTCTGCCAACTTGCATAACGTTAATTCTGCAAGGTGAGAAGAAATCAGTGCATTTAAAGGCAATTCGGAATCCCCATTTCCTCGTACTCGTACGACCTTTACAAGTTTGTGAGAGACGTGGCTACCATCACACATTTTATCAGTCCCCAAAACAGAGTAATGGTTGGTATCCGGCAAGGTCATTTTATTAACTGTACTTTCGCACGAGTCAAGCCGAGATTTGTATTTGCTCTGATCAAAGACGTAGCGAAGAAGCGGTCCCAAATTATCCATTCGAACTTCCACCTTTTTCCAGTGGTCCGCTTCTTCCTCCGCAAGCTGCCAATTGTGCTTCATCCAAACGCAAATCGCCTTTACATCGTCTTTCTCAGGACAATTCATTACGATTCGTAAGGATTCACTTTGTTTCTCCCATTCGTTGACGTTGTCCAGGTTTGCCGATGACACTACAATCATGCCCCATCCCTTACAGGGCGCAATATCTGTGTCGGGCGGTGTTCCTTTCTTTGCCACATCGTAAATAATATACCCTTTCATCCCACGCTGCCACAAACCACCCAAAACACTCTTGGATCTTTTATTACCCATGTATTTTGTCACCGTCTAGATGGTCTTGTCAAACACGTACGCCGTATCCCCAAAACAGTGAACAACCACTTGGAGTTTCTTGAAATCGTATTGCAGCAGCTGGTAGAGGAAGTAAGAACCGGCATTCATCGACTTCCCAATCCCGGGCGTCCCAAAAAACAGATGCGGCACGGGTGAAGGATTGAAAGTCAAATGAAAATTGCTAAACCACTTGGTTAGATCGCGCTTGACGATCTGCCACACTCGATCCACCTCACAGTTCACATAGCAGTCACGAGTGAATTCACACGCACCCCACGAGTACGGCCATCCCTTGTCCGAGGTGAGCACCATCAGCCTGCGACGCGCTGCACCGGATTGCTGCGCACCGTCATCCCTTTCGAGGGATTCACCAGCTGCCCTGTACGTCCATGACTGCGGTGGCTCACCCTCCCTCACATCCATTCCCGTCCCCTCGCCGCCAGGAACTTCCACGACATGATGCCACCTCGCAACGTACACAGACTCGTACACTCCCTCCAGTTATATCGCTGCGTTCGACTTCGTTGGGTTTCTCGATTCCTCGGCGGCTGCATCCAAAAACATTTTAGTGACTCCATGAACACTTGCTTTTACCTCCGCAGCCGCCACCAACCACCTCAGTAGATTGTCCACACCATTTTTGTAAAGCCTGCTTACACCTTCCTCCATATCCATTTCATCCCTCACAGCCCTCTCCATCCTCTTGTAATGATATGTTGCCTGTATTTCGCCCAATACTCCTGCATCGCAAATATAGTTCTCGGGGTCCTTAAAAACCCCTCCAGTAAGACATTCCGATTGGTGTTCACAACGCCCTCTGCCGTCCAATTCCATCGCAAAAAAATCATTCAGCTTCATTTCATCCACGCGAAATCTTCCTTCAAACACCGCATACTTAATCCTAGTGGAAACGTCAATTCCCAGTTCTTGTCGTTCTCGCCTTGCCATTTCCTCCGCCTCCCGCCTCTTTCCTCTCAGTACCTGAGAAACGGCGTTGTTTATTTGTGCCCTTGCAAGAGGAATGACCACATCCCTTCTTTTAAATTCCCTCCATTGCCTGAGAGTGAAAATACGCTCTTTTCTAAGCATATGTAAAGCCCCCAATATCATGGGCATCTCCTCACGCTCTTTTTCAGCTCTTGGTATGGCGGCGATGCCTTTATTGTGCTCAATAACACCTCTTCGTGGATGAACTTCGTGGGGCTACTTAAAACGTCCTTCAAATAGACCCTCGCATTGAATTCCACAACGCCCCTGCCGTCAAAATAATTCCAAAGGAAATCATTCAGTCTCATTTTGGTGATGCGCTCCTTTGCCTCCAGCAGCTCTCTTTCCAGCCAACAATCAGGAGTCCACTGTGGTCGCCGCCTTTCCTCAACCCCTCTGCAAGTTGAAGCGTCGGAACCATCGTCCTAGCCACGGCGAGGCGCCGATGGCTCCAAAAGACAATCGCGGCTGTTTCGTCCGGCAGTCCCGGCGGCGTTGGGCGTGGCACTCGCACGGCGGGGCGGTCAGTGCGCCATGCAGCCGCACTGCAACGCCGGTCGGTGAAGCAGCCGAGGCCCAACGCGCCCGCAGCAACGCGACGTGCAATCTACCACAACACCGCCACATTATCGTACTTTTATTTTGTTCACGTTGTCTGTCTGTTTGCACTATCACCGACACCAAAAATAAGTGCACACCTTTACAAAAGGGAAGAAACAAAGAGAAAAGGAGGCGCGATCCCACCGTCCCGCCGCGGGCTCACACTCTCCTCCACCCACCACCATTGCCGCGCAGGGGACCGCAGTCACATCGGAGAGCCAAAACCACAATGTGCACCACACCATCGTACACTGAACGATAGGCAAGACGCAGCCATGCATCGCCCCGCTCCATTTTCCCACCCATCAAGTATTGCGTGCCCGCTCAAAGTAGCAAACACAATCAGAGTGCACACAAACCCAATCAACACACTCACTCGATGAAGCACATTATTCGCATGGGGTGAGAACATTTGAGGACACACCAGCAGTAGCAGGCTGCATGGAATCTCCCTGCCAACCCTGCAAAGAGACGCAACAACTCTGCGGAGTAAAAGTGACAGCCCCGCGGTGTTGCCTGCAGTTCATATGGCAGGACAAATTCCACGCACGCATAGTTCCGGACCCCTCGCTGTTTGAGTGCACACCAACAGAACTTACAAAAGAATTCGTGCCCGCAGGATGAAATTGAAATAATTGAAAAAGTCGGCCTGCTTTCTCCAATGGCGTTGGCGAGCAGTCCCACACAATCCAATCAAAGTGACACGCCGGACAGAACGGCTTCAGTTAATAAATAAATAATTGCGCCAATGCAAAAAGCAGGTATAATTTGGGTTTTGCACCCAAATTCGGAGACGACAGTGGCATGAGAGTGTGTATTTGTGCAAGGCCCTTCGTGCGACGGCGATCTCCAATCCCGCCGTGCCGTGACACAAAAGGGCAACGGAAAAAGGAAGAGCACACTCTCCAGAAAAGAAGTGACGGTTGGGCAGTCAACCCCCGTTTCGTCTCACATGACATCCACATATGTGCACTCCACCTCAAATATGTACCTCCCTGGACGCCGCATGCATGACGTGTGGTTTCGTCGCTCGTAATGTGCTTTTCCTCCCGCAAACAACAACAAAAAAAAAAAGGATGGCCATGGCGCAGCTCCACTCAGGGGAATCGATCGGGGCAGACAGGGTGGGAACCAGGGATCATACCAAAAATAAAAAAAGGGCAACAACTCCTCCAAGCCAAAGCATCGCGCAGTGTTCATCCCTCTTCTTCTACATTAAAGACCTCCTCAACAGAACAAATGCAACAGACACATGTGCAGCACAATATCTTTCGCTGTCCCGCGTTAAATCTTACTTCCCTTGCGTGCCACGGCGGTGATGCCGGCGTTACATCCGGGATGACTCCAAAATACCAGGCACCATGCTGTGGAGGGTGGATGCTTAACGAACGTGCCCGCGTCAGCACCTAACAGGAAATGCCGTCAAAAAGAAAAACTACCCGCGACTCAAAATACCCTGTGGCCGTACTAAAGCGACACTAAAACACGTGTGTAGAAATGCAAAAAAAGAAAAAAGAGGAGGAACCACAAGAGTGATCCAAAAGAATGCACCAGTATATACATACACAAAGAAATACATCATTCCGCATACTTCTTCTTTCTTTCCCTTGTTGTTCTTCCCACGCAACAACAGAAATGCGAAGAGTGACAGGCATGCCCTCCCACACAGTCATCGTGGAACAGGAGAAAGAGAGTCACTGCAGGCACCCACAAAAAAATAAAAACAAACCAACAATCAATGACGCTGTCGGGGCGGAGTCCGATGGGTGGCTGCGCAGCTGCACAGCCGTGGCCCCCACGCCCTCCCTCACGTCAGCCAGCAACGCGCACTCACAACCTCCAGAAGGTGACGCGTCACAGAAGGGCTTCATCGACTGTTTTCCCTAACGCCTTCCTGAATGCATCCTATGATCCGCACACAACCACCATCGTCGAGCACGTCCTCACTACTGAGTACAGATATGAAAGAGAGAGTACCAGCCCTCATATTCGGTGCTGCAGCGGCGGGCGCAAAACACATACACACGCACACGCACACACACAGACGTTGCGCATCCGCCCCGGAACAGCGTGATACCTCGATAATCCGTTGTCGTCGATAATCGATAAAATAAAAGCAACAAATCAATCACCCGATCAATCTATGAATAATGGAAAGAGAGAAGATACCTGCCAGACGCATCTACGTCATGCCGCATCTGCGAGGGGCCTTGTGTCTTCTCGCCGCACAACGGTACTGTTGGGTCGGAGCCCTTACACCTAAAAAAGAAACTGCGCTAAATGTTTCGTCAAGCGGAGCATCTTCACCTGTCCAGAGCGGTATAATTAATGCCGCAGCTCGCACTGGATGCACGGTCAAGCAGACTCAGCGCGTCTGAGGAGGTGTCACCGGCCATGAGCTGCAGCGGCGGTGCGGGTGGTCGGTACGACGACGCAACGGTGGTGCCTGAGGCGTACGACGATGACGTCATGTCGTGGGGCTTCTGCGTTTCTTCGTCGCTCTCCTCGCCATCGCGCAGCAGCGCCTCCAGCCCTCCACGCCGCGGCTCGCGCAGCTCCTGCCAGTGGCGGTCCTCCGCGTACCACACAACCATGCTGTACACAGTGACCGCAAGCAGCACAGCGGCCAGCAGCAGCACGATAGTCGCGTACGCCCTCGCACCGCCGTCGCTCGACGCAAGGTGGTTGGCCGCGCTGATCAGACACAGCGCCGCAAGCAGCACAAAGCTCGCTGTCTGCAACACCGTCAGGAGGGCCGAGCGCATCATGTTCGTGAAGGCAACCACGCCCGCACCCGCAAGCAGCACAGCCGCCATGCAGAAGTACTGGACGTGGCAGCCTCCCACGAGCGGGTGCACAGCCGCAATCAGGCACACCACACACAGCACCGACAGCTGGAACACGCACCAGTACACGCGGCTGCCCCTCATGTTCGTCAGCATGCCGCCGTACATCCGCTGCTGCACTGCGGGGTGCCAATACCCGACGGGGTACAGCAGGCGCTCGTGCAGCGGCTTCCTCGAAAACTGCCAGTACTTCGTGAAGCTCGCGCCCGTGTGACGGGCAATGAAGTAGCACACGCCAGCAGGGAACGCCGCTCCGTACAGCACGCCAACGACACCGATCACGCGGTGCTGCACGCGGGCGCCGGGCATCGCCAGTGCGGACACCGAGCCGAAGAAGATGCCGAGATGCATCGCGTGCGCCACGACGTACGTCAGGCTCGGGAAGCGCATCGCCGCCCACGCACTCGCCGCGTCCACGCCGCGCCACCGCTGGAAGGCGGCCGTCACACCGTAGTGCACGCACCCGAACACAGCGGCAAGCAGCGCGTTGCCCACCACCATCCACAGCGGATCAAGGGCAGCGAACACCGACAGGAAGTACGGCAGCGCAACGGTGCTTTCACGCTCCTGCGCCGAGGCGCATGACATCCTCGCAAACACGCCGAGCACCTGCATCTCCAGAACGGAGCCCAGCCCGCCGGTCACCACCACGGCAACAGCAGCCGCACCCGCAACAACGCCGGTGATCGCAGAGAGGGCGTTGGCAGCGACGGGCAGCGTGTTGGACGCGATCGTGAAGGACCCAAGCAGCACACCCTTGCAGCCGCCAGACACCGCCGCGGCGTCGCAGCGAATGACTATCGTCTCGTCGGCAGTAATGAAGTAACCGCGGTGCACGGGCACAGCCAGCTCCAGGACGGTGGACGGATTCGTCGCGTTGCGCACCCACGTCGCGTTGCTCAGCATCGCTCCCCACGGACCACCGAAGCCGCTCGGCTGCGCCGTCGATGTAGGCACGAAGCTCAGGTGCGTGCCAAGCTGCGGGTCGCTTGCCC